GAAGGGGGGGGGGGGTAATGTTTTTCCTGAATGTTTACTGTGTCTGGTAATTTGTTGATAATGTCAACACATTCTTCTCTGTGTTTCTACAGGCTAACAGGCTTCCAGGTTCCTCCCCCTGTCACCAGTACAGGAAATGTCTTCTCTTTGAGGTTGACCAGTGACTTTGCTGTCTCGGCACATGGCTTCAAACTCAACTATGAAGGTTAGAATGTGTCCGTATGCCCGTATTTGTGAAAATGTATAGGCTGTGCTTCAGTGTTAACCTCTATAGTTGAAAGAAAATGAACAATGTGAATAACAGCCACATGGGTTATTTGTTAAATGTCAGATAAAAAATTCCATTGCTTGTTTAGGACTATTCGTGTGAGCCATGGAAGGAAGAAAGAATGGTATTCAGACAGCAAAAACTCTGCCTTGGTAGACCCCTTGTTTTTGAAAGCAGAAGTAATAAGCAGGTGCACTGTGGATCTTAAGCAACCCCAGCTGATATTTGCTAGATGCATTAAACTTAGAGAAAGCAAACGACCAAATGCTGAACTTTCAAAACACACACCCCATTTGCACCTGGTATTAAACTCCGATCTTTGTCCGGATAATAAATGATCTGATCTTGCCTTTGCATTTTTCACCTGGTATTTTTAATGCTTTCTTGTTGTCCTCATTGAGATCAGATCTCTGTCTTCCAGAGCAAAACTCTTTGAGAAACATTGTCTACAACAAATTCTTTATTATCTGTCTCCTCTTGTAAATTCTGCAAATGCCCTATTAAGCGTTTCTAACCATTATATAACCATTTAATAAATGGTTTAAAACACAACATAATGTAGATGTGAGCAGATATAAGGCAGTTTTTATGTGTTTATGAGTGTTCGTCATCAATTATAAATTCTCCAATGAAAACATATTTCAAATAATCACAACCGTGTTTTACTGTATTGTCATTCATTATCTGTTTATACACCAACATCTGGTTATGGGAGTCCAAAGCACCCAGGTTGGTTCACACGTAGAGTGCATCATTTATAGTCAATTCAATTCCTTTGAGAGGCAATTCAGATTTTGAAACTTTTCAAGGAGATCTGCAATATTCTGAAGTTTGAATGTTTTTTGACTCCTTTCCACTCAGCACAGGAAAGGACTCCCTAATGGGTGCCTTGTCCATTCCTTTTCAACAGGCTGTCAAACTAACCAAATCCAGAGAGTGGATGGGCAGACCAAGGCACAAAACGAGAACATAATGAAGGCTTTATGTTATATAGAGAAATAGAAACATTTTGTTGTGATTTTTATGTCGACCAGATTTTACAAATTGATCCATTTTGAACCTCAAGGCGAATGATTGGAGGCTAAAACACCTTACTTGTACACTTTTATTATTTACCTTCACAAAAACAGACACATTCTCTCTCTCTGACACAGTATTCATTTCAAACACTGGTTCACTGAGATAATTTCTGCATGAAACAATCAGTATTTAATATGCATTAACCTTGTTATATTCATTTTTACCAAGGACTTTGATCATTTTAACAAAGACAAAATGTGGGGGTTGCTTCCAGAGGGAACTTGGCCCATTCCAGGGGTAGATAAAGCGTCCCCTTTCACCCTCTTCCTTTAGGCCCCGAGTAAACACCAAGTACAATTTTCACAGATGAAAGAAGAGATATGAATGGTTGAAGTGACGGTTAAAATTAGAACTCACTATGTATCAGCACCATGTCCTGTGTGCGTTAAAGATTTCAGATTAGATTTAGATTAGAAAAACTTTGATGTCCTCAACAAAGTAGTTAGTTCCGGAGCATAAAACAGAGGAGCATAAAAGTGTCTACCGGAGGCACACACATGACACTAAGCAAACCAACAAAACAAATATGTACACAATTATGTAGTTCCTTGCTATTCACTGAGCAGATGAGAGAGATGTCAAGAACCAACATGGTTCAAGTACATATATGACCCCATATGCCATTTAAAAGGACACAGTGGGGGCAGCTGTGGCTCAGAGGCAGAGCGGGTCGTCCCCCAATTGGAAGGTT